TGTAAGTAAATAAAAGTGTGTGTTTTATGGAGATTACTTTGTGCGGAGATTCTGTGTGCGTCTACTGATTACAAAAACTCACAGTACCTGCTTAACATACAATAAACATGCTCCTTCTGTTACCTTATATCTGTCTACAGAAGTATTCTTCCCTTTTGCAAATACTGCAACTTAGAGATATTGACAAACTAGAGAGAAATAACAGACCAGTTAAAGCCACCCCCCATTAGCATCTATATATGATTGTAAAAGGGACTAAGTGCATCTTCATCCAAGCACATTAATTCTTTTGTGAAATCTATAGCATTCAGACAGATAGAGAACATATTTCGAATGCTCGTTTATAGTCTTGTATTTAGAGTGTTTTAAAAGATCTGTAAAACACAGGTGCCTTTCATCATTTCCATCCATACTTCATTCTTGTGGTTGGACATGTCATATGGGCATTTCTGACATGTCTCCTAGCATGCAGAAGTGGTTGTCCAATCAATAAAAAGGGCTGATCGGGTGACGGCAAGAGGCTCTTTTAATGTCTAAGAGGTCCATCTGGGCTGCTGTCAGCTTCTCTCATATCTGTCAATGTATGGAGGAACGAAAGGCTAATAAATAATATATCAGCCCTGATATTTTTAGGTGAATTGAGGTCTCCGTCTTACGGCTGATAGCCGACTTCAAAAGCTTTTATTTATTTATGTCTTCTTTTTTTTTTCTTGGAAGATGATGGTGACGAAGGGTAGGCAGAGAGACCCTCATCTTGAAATAATGAAGAGAGTATCTCGAGACTCCCTACTGAGCTTTGCAAAAAATGTCACCTTGGGAAAATGTCACACGGTATTACAAGAGCATTTCATGAATACCAACTGACTTGTCTACAAAAGCCATATCAAACAAAGTCCAGCGTTTCATCTTTGCATGAGGTTACGCACATCGGATGCTGTGACACGAGTAGATTGAGGGCGCAGTGATTTATGCAACCGAAGAACGTCTGCTAGATAGGACTGAGGAAACGAGTGCATGAAGGAGAGAGCTGGACAGCTTTGAAGTGATCAGAGTCTCATTAGGACAGTGCAGATTAGACAAAGGGAGTCCGTACTTGCCAGAGGCTCAGCCATGCAAAGCAAAAGGCCATTCGGTCCAGAGTCTGAGCTGGACTGTGGGAAATGCAAAAACAATACTCTATAGCTGAGAAAAGACTGTTTGGTGATCCAAAACCCCTCTAAACAAGTATTTTCCAATATTTTTCTCCATAATATGGAATGATATGGAACAATTGTATAATTTACCTCAAACCGAATCTATTATTAATTTATATTAATAAAAAAATGTGATATTGATACTGTCACTAATTGTTGTTTAACACATTCCTAAAACTTTTAAAACCACAGAGTTGACAATGACAGAGTAGCAGAGTAGCTCAACCTGCGTTCTGTGTGGGTCCTAATGCCCCAGTGTATTGCTAGGGACTCTACTCCTCAGTGAGCGCTGTCTTTTGTAGAAGTTAAACCGAGGTCCTGACTCTCTTTGGTCATTAAATATCCCAGGATGTCCCTCCAAAAAGAGTAAGCCGACTTTGCCCACTGGCCTCTGTCCATCGTGGCCTCCTAATCTTGTGGCCTGTTAATCACATCATAACGGTGTGCAATCTGGCGCAATATGGCTGCCATTCAAGTGGATGCTGCACACTAGTGGTGGTTGTGGAGAATACCCCCAAAAATATGTAAAATTCTTTGAGTGTCCAGAAATGTGCTATATAAATTTAAGGAAGTATTATTATTATTAAGCACGCTTATGTTTTCAGCCAAAATTATACATTTTGACTAAAGGTGACAAGTTGCACTGGTGATTTGATGGTCATAATAGATCATGGTAACTGTTTAACTTTATTTAAATACACATTATTAATCTACTCTGACTTCACTTTTTCATATTTTATGCGTGAGAAATGTGTCCTGTATAGTATCTGACAACAACAAAGTTTTACAACAATAACATTTTCCACCCCTTTGTGCTTTAGTCTTAATGCACTAGACATTGTATGATGAACTCTTATATGCTTTACATGTTTGTTGTTTATATAACTGCTATTTTTATTTATAAAACTCAAATTTTGCATCACGTTTAAACACACTATGAACCACAGCTATGCTATTTCTTTTCTTTATTCTCTATTTCCACCTGGGGACAGTCATCCCGAGCAGGGGCGTAGATTTAGGGTGGACGGTGGGGACGTGTCCCCACCAATAATTTAATTCACTTAAAAACATCGCGCTGTCAGTATAAACCTAAACTCAAGTTCGCTACTGAATGAGTCCATCATGATAATGCCGTTATGCTAGGGTTTTCACCGCTTTTACGTTCAGTCTAACGTTAAAGCAGACTAGTCTGTAAACAATATTCCCTGAAAACTAACTGCAGAATAAACACCTACACGTAAACGTATATGACCCTGCCAGTTCTCCTAATCTCTTAGAGTAACATCTCCAATTTTGGTTGAAACAATTTGTCAGAAAAACTACAGCCTGTGCTCCATCTTTTAATAATACTGTGAGACATGTTTAATTTGTACGAAAAATGAACGAAAGTCTTTATTAAACTCTCTCTTTATCAGTTAATAAACATTATTTTAACAAAACACTTTCAAGCCTGTAGCCAGCATTGAAAGGGGTTATTTGTTTTCTGAAAAACTGAACCTTTTTGCAGTTATTCACCTGATTTTCTGTTTAATTGAGGTATAAATAATACATTTTAGTGACATAATAAGAACTATTTTTTGCTGAATAATCTTGTTGGATAGTTATTACAACTACACTTTTTAATGTACCAAAACTATTTCCTACCATTTTGTCAAATTGCTTTATTTACACATTTAAACTGTAAGTTTTATTACAGTTCTATAAATAATAAAAATACTTTGAACTAGAAATTAGGACTTATAATTTTTAGAATAAATAAATGAAGTACAGTTCAGATGCCAAAACCTCTAAATGCCATGTAAAATGAACATTTTTCTCAGCCTTGTATATTTATGTTCAGTTATTTCACTTTAAAGGCAATGAAAAGAACGTAATTGTCACTATAAAAGTAAAATCACTGAGTCCACACACAGGAGTTGGAGAAAAATGCTCATTTTAGAAGAAAATATTAAATGGCATTTAGAGGTTTTTGCATCTAAACTTTTCAAATATGTAAATATACTTATTTTTAAAATACAACTTTTTTTATCATAATTTTCTTTGGGAAATCTGTTAAAACTTGATTTAAATTAAAAACTGAAGCCCATAGGCAAATAACCAACTGGCCGGCGCATTCTTCCTTCTTCAGTGAAAATTTGTCCATTTGAATAATAAGATAAATTCTAACATAATAATAATAATCCAACTTTTGGTCTTTCAAACCTCCTGATCCCCTTGGCTACATGCATGACTATTTAATTTAACTTAATAAATTGTAAGAAGAGAGGATTACTTAATAATACATTTTAATAGCAGTTAAATAATAAATAGCAATATATATATTATATATATTATATATAACAATATTCATTCTGGGCGGGGGTGACTCGTCCCCAGTCCCCATCAATGTCAAGCGCAAACCTACGCCCTTGATCCCGAGGCCCCTAGAGACTATACAGCACCATTGATGCGATCCAAGACCTGTGAAGAGATGATCCAAAGGTATCCATAATCCTGGACCAGGCCTTATCCCGAGCTGATGCTGTGGTGGTCATGGAGGAATGGAGGGCTTGAGACTGATTGCTAAACAACCACAGAACAAACAAGTCCCCGCATTGATCCTGTGGGCCAGCCTGACCTCCTGCCGGTGCCCTACTCACACCTGCAGCTTCTCCACGATGGACGTCCAGCTTCTCCAGCCTCCGACGCCTAGATTGCAGCTCCACACAGGAAGTTTGGCCAGAAGAATAATGGTCGTGCCCAACAGAGCCTGGTTATTCTTAACAGAGTCTGGAAATTTGCTCAATATGCTAACCTCAAACCAGATACCACATGGAATGTCTAAAACTAAATATGTTGCTTGAATAATGAATAGTAATAAATGGTGAATTCACTGTTGTATTACAATAACAACAGAGTTGACAATCTAATTTTGCTGTATCATATTGTACAATAATTATGACATGCCTTCTAGAGTTTGTCTAGTAGCATCACTTGTAGCATATCGCATGCTTTTCTATGAGTTCTTAAAAGTTTGTTTTGCATTGTTGTTTTGCAATCAATGTAACAGAGTTGTCCAGAATGTAGAAACCCCCTCTAAACAAGATCCAAACCAGATCCAAAACAATAAATTTCTACTCAAGTTTCCAAAGAATCAAAGCAAGACAAGGCCTAAAAACAGAAGGTTTTCAATCGAACACCTCTTTGGAACATTATGCCTTTTGGAGACAAAAATCAAAAACGTCGACGCACCCTGGGCGACACCATTAGAGACGTTCTCCATGGAGAGCAGGGGAAAAAAGATGCTCATTTGCTTGTTACGTTTTCATTTTCGCCTTTGAAATGTCAGACCCGCTTTCATGAAAGGAAATGCGGGGATACTCTACAACATTTCAAAGGAGCGCAACTTTTTCCCCAGTCTATGGCAGCGTCTTTTGTGCTCATTTCAGTTGAGAACAGGAAGAAAGCGAGGGACGAGATCGCTGCGCGAGTGGGATGCAAATGCAAAATTTGGCGCTCATCTAGGTATTGTTTACAGATAAAAAGGGAACGCCACAAAATGGAGGCAAAAGATGAGAAGTCACAAGGGACCACACTGTGACAGCACTGTTCTTCATACCAAACATCTTTAGGGCACCTTGGGATGAGCCCCGTGCCCTGTTTGTTTACAGGAACAAGAGCTGTAGATGGATTGACAGCATCTGCTTATAGTTACCGATTGATCTAAATATTACCACTATGGTGAACCGGGATTTGGAATGAAAAAAAAAAAAAAAAAAACTTAAAACTGTATCAAACAATGCAAAAAAATATTATTGAATCACTTACATGCCATCAAAGGGATTGACACCAGGTATGACATGGGTGCTGTCCCGGCCCACCAAGAAATGGATGCGCTGATAGAAGGACTGCAGGGTGCTCAGACTGGAAGAGATTTGGGTTTCCTGAATGATATCCAGAGGATCGGGAGAGCCCACACACAGAGATGTTGTGTGACATGATGCCTGCAAGCAGCAATCCGGGTCCATGCAGTCCGTCAACCCATCTGTTCAAGAGAGTGAGAGGACAGGGTGAAAAGGTTTAACTTTCAGTTATGGTAATCAAGCAGATTCTTTGCACATATGGATGTACTGGTTTAAAAACTAAACTCTTCTGTGAACTTTCTTCACCCAAAAAGAAAAAAATACCTAACAATTTATTTAGCTTCAAACCATACTGAGTGTACTGTATATGAATTTTTTGAGTCAAACATACACATTTGGAGTAATTTATGCAGGCTCTTCCATTTTGTATAATGGTGTTGTATAAAAGTCTTTCAGAACTCAGAAGTCATCAGGTGGTTAGTGCATGTATTATAAAGTAGATCAATGTGTTTTTGTTACAAAAATATTTCTTATTTTTAAATATAAACTCTAATCGTTGACTTCCAGCTGCTGCCGGATACATGTTCCCCACAATTTCTTGACTGACTTGATGATTATGATGTACCCCAAAACCTCAAACTCCTCTTCTCTTACAGTAAAATCCTCTGACATCTTAACTTTTGGTTTACACTTTAAATTAGTTACAGTAAGTGGAAAAATTATACAATGATTTATCAAGTTATTGCCTTGTCTCTGTAATGCAAATGTATGCCTTTTTGAGCTAACTTCATTAAATTTAAGTATGATAAATTACTTATATATATTCTGTTTTCCAAAAGACATACAATTAACAAAGACAACCTATTTTTTTTTATAAATATAAAATTATACATTTTGAGGCGACATAGTGGCGTAGTAGGTCGTTGGGCTGCTGGTTCGAGCCTTGGCTGGGTCAGTTGGTGTTTCTGTGAGGAGTTTGCATGTTCTCCCTGCGCTTGCGTGGGTTTCCTCGAGGTGCTCTGGTTTCCCCCACAGTCCAAAGAAATGCAGTACAGGTGAATTGGGCAGGCTAAATTTTCCATAGTGTATGAGTTTGAGTGTTAATGATTGTGTGTGGATGTCTCCTAGAGAAGGGCATCTGCTGTGTGAAAACGTGCTGGATAAGTTGGCCATTCATTCAGCTATGGCGACTCCGGATTAATAAAGGGACTAAGCCGAAAAGTAAATTAATGAATAAATGAATTATACATTTTGACTAATAGTGACAAGTTTGTATCCCGACACTGATCATTTGAAGATCACACTCACAGTTTAACTTTATTTAGAGACACACTATTAGTCTAAATCAAGGGTTTCCATACTTGTTCCTGGAGGACCAGTGTCCGGCTAAGTGTAGCTCCAACTTGCTTCAACACACTTGCCAGAAAGTTTCTAGTATATTTAGTTAGAACTTGATTAGCTGGTTAAGGTGTTCTTGATTAGGGTTGGACCTAAACTCTCCATGACACCGGCCCTTGATCAGGACTGAGTTTGGTCTAATTAGACTTTATTTTTAGGGGTTAAGTATGAGAAATGTATCTTTTGAACACTTACTGTATAGTGTCTGGTTAGACTTGCCAGTTTTAGATCAGTGGTGCTCAACCCTGTTCCTGGAGATCAACCTTCCTGCAAAGTTCAGCTCCAACCCTGATCAAAAACACCTGAACCAATTAATTGGGACCTGAACAGCACTTGATAATTACAGGCAGGTGTGTTTGATATGGGTTGCAACTGAAATCTAAAGGAAGGTCAATCGCCAGGAACAGGGTTGCTCCGATCTTCCCCACAGTTCAAAGACATGTGCTATAGGTAAATTAAGTGTAAGCTCAATTGTCCATAGTGTATTGGTTGGGGGTTGAGCATTGGGCTAACCGTCCACCCTAAAAAAAAAGCTAAATATTAACTTTGATAAAACTGACCTGGGAGTAAGTAAGTAAGTAACACACACTTCATGAGACAAGTGTTAACCACCAGGTGGCCTATGGGTTAGTTTTGTGTGAAAAAAAAAAATGGTCAGCTACACCAACCCCATTACACAGCATGGATGAGCTACAATAAAGTGTACAACTACTTTGACTGCTTTTATTTGTCTGTGAATCTTAGTAAAATCAGTCTGATGTGGTCATATTCCATAAAAAAAAAAAAAAAACAAGCACCTACTGTACAGAATGAATCTTCCAGAAACTACTGTAGCTTCATCAGGTATGACCTGGTTACCAGAAATGTTCATAACCTGCAGCACAAATGCTTTCTAACATGCTTATTTTGCTGAAGCTATTGTTATCCCCCTAGTTCGCAATCTCTAAATGAGAGGGAAAAAAGATTTCATCATCCCAAGACGAGCATGGGCAAAACCGTTAGAATCTCAAAAACTTCTGAGAAATAACAGTCTCTGTTGGACAGCTTTCTGTGCCCTACAGCTTCGTTATTGCGGTAAGTTAGAGCAAGTCTGACTTCTTATTTCCTTCATTTTTTTTTTCTTTCTTGCCAACACTTTCCACACCTCTACAGGCAGCTCAGCCTCTCCCTCCTGTAATTCTGCAGAAATAATTCAGGACTTCAGGCCATGCTGAGAGGAACCCTTTAATGTACTGAAGTGGGTCATCCCTTATTCTTTATCAACTCTCTCTCTCTCTCTCTCTACTTTCAGGAACCACTCTGACCAGATGGGCCAGATTACAAAAATAACACCTCTCCTGTGGAAACGTCAACATGGCTTGTTTCAGTCATCATCATAGTACCGCCAATTGATTGCTTTACTCTGAGTGCATGAGCTAGAACTTTTGCACCGCTCAGTGCAGATTCCAAGCGGACAAGACTACCACTGATTTGGAGCAGGGGTGTCCAATCCCCCTCCTGAAGGACCACTTTACGGCAGAGTTTATTTCTGTCCAACTAGAAGTATCTTGTGAGTCTAGACCTTCGCTGTGTGTCTGCTGTGTATGACATCAAAGTACCGCGAGAACAGTTGGATGGCCGACGGCTCTGTATGACTTGGAATTGCTCTGACTGTACTTTGATGTCATACTCTGATCATTCTGCACAGCATCAAATTTATAGTAAATACTATGGTGCTTAGTTTAGTAAAGTTCTTAAGTTAATTTAGCTAATATAGTTGCTATTGTAATACAACAACTATGTTTACATACTGTTTTTAAAAATATAGAATATATTTAGGGTGCATAGGAAACATTGACTATGAGGGGGGGTGTCACCTATTTTCAGTATTTTTTTTGTGTGAATAAATAAGCATGCTTCAGTGAACCAAATTCATATATTTAATTCCATTACATCTAATTGGTTATAGTTGTCTGTGCTTAGAGGGAAAATTAGCTGATTCTGACCTACAATAACCTCTGATCGGTGACTTTTCAATGTGCATTTTAAATAAGATATGAGTTTAGGCTATTTGTTGATTAAAAACACCTTTTTTAGGGAAAAGTACCTTTTGAACAATTGCGGTATCTATATAAGCTAGATCTGCTGGTGTTCAGATTCTAGATTCAGCCTGCCGACTGAATATTTTCCTGCATGATGAGGTACAATGGTATGAACATTTATAGAGATGATCAAATGTATATTTACTTTATATTTATTTCTTTATTTGTATTGCTATTATATAAGATAATGATCAATGTTAGCTAATTTCCACAGTTTAAATAGCTTACCCCCCACACATGTTGTTTTTGTGTATTTCAAGGGAGATCAAGGGTTAATTAGGGGGTCAGATCCCTCTATACCTCCCCATAATTGGTACCCTGGTTATATTAAAACAGCAGACCATAGTACTTAAAACAGCTAATCAGTTCACTATACTTAAGCTTACAGTGTTTTGTAGCTTTCGTTAACAAAGTGGTATAAATATTGAAGAACAATATATAGTGTTGTGCACTTTACTATAGTATAGTTCTAAAACACATAATATTACAAAGTACAGTATTTTTTACAAGGATGTTACTTCACGTCATCTAATCAAGTAATCTTCCAGGAATAAATCGGAACTTAACTCTGTCTTTAGGATGAGATGGTAAACAGAGGTCTCAGCTCTCTGTGGTCATAAAAATCCCAGGATGTCTTTCAAAAAAGAGTAGGGGTTAACCCTGGCATCCTGGTCAACTTTGCCCACTGGCCTTTGTTCATCATGGCCTCCTAACCATACTCATATCATAATTGGCTTCATCACTCTTTCCTTCATCACGTTTCCTCTCCACCAATCAGCTGATGTGGGCATGAGATTTTCTTCTGTTATCTTGGGAACACGAAGCCTACAAGCTTACAAGTTTGAATCATGGCACCGGCAGAGACTGTAGGTGTGGGCAGTGAATAACCACCACTCATTTCCTCTCGCAATACCATGGCTAGAGTAAATCCCTTGAGTAAGGCACCAACATCCCTACTGCTCCCATGGGTGCCGCAATGGCTTTCCACTGCACAGGGTGTGTGTGTTCAAAGTGTGTGTGTGTGCGTGTGTGTGCGTGTGTGTGTGTGTGTGTGTGTGTGTGTGTGTGTGTGTGTGTGTGTGTGTTTAATGTAGAGCAAAAATGTATTTGCTTTTCCTTTAATTTAGTCAACATCTAATCATTACACCCGATTAGAAGGACACAGTTTACATCTCTTTGTATGACAACTTGACAGTTTCTCATTCAAACGCATCAATGCCCTATTAAATAACCAGCATCAGTAGTATTTAATGACATTTAACACTATTTTAACTGCAGTTAGGGTCAAGAAAAATATAGATGATGCCATTTTAAAATTCATAACACAATTATAATGGTCTCATGACAACAACTTCTATTATAGATTTATGGCAATTACAGTTGTCTTGGTTATATCAAGTTATCATGACATGTATTTGTTTGTGTCAAGTTGCTATGACAAAGACATCTCAAACAATGTTATCTTTGCATTTAAAATGACATAACAGAGAATAGATCTGTTGTCGTAAGTATGCATAAAACCTCATTTATATTTATGTCATTGTTATAAAGGTTATTCGACAGTCTAACAAACATACCATCAAGAAAAGGATGCTTCTATAGTATATCTTTGTTGATCACACATCATTCCAATTTGATTTTGAAAATAATATACAGTACAATTAAGAAAAGAAACGAGAAGATAAGAAGCGAGACGAGACGAGAAGAGAAGCAAAGAGAAGAGAAGGGAAGAGAAGAGAAGAGAAGAGAAGAGAAGAGAAGAGAAGAGAAGAGAAGAGAAGAGAAGAGAAGAGAAGAGAAGAGAAGAAAAGATTCCAGCATGTTAAATCTTGGTAATAAATGTCACAGCAGCATGTTGTTTGTGTTATACCTCCATCATTGTCCTTGCCGTCACTGCAGGCCGTCTCCATTGATGTGTCGCAGCCTGCTCCCCGCCAGCCCAGTTGACAAACGCAGTACCAGCCATTATTACCCAGCGTGCATCTGCCATTGCCATTGCACAGACCAGGGCAGCCCTCTGTGCACATAAAAGCAAAGCATACACATTAGGAAGAGCACTTCTGACCAAAAACAAACACTGCACTATAACAGACAAAGCCTAGTGACTATGTACAAGACAAAAAAGCCTAAATGAAGGGCTGAGGGTCAAAAGAGTGGTTCAGTAATAACAGTGATAACTTCAGGTGATTAACTGATACACCTTTTTAAGCCCTTATATCCTATGGAGGCAGTCTTATACTGCAGAGCTCCACCAGATCAATACATTCTCATTAGTGTTGTACAATAGATGCACAGCTCAGCTCTAAAGAGAAAGAGAGAAAGAGAGCCAGAAAGACAGGCAAGACAATGGAATGCAGCAAAGGTAGAAGCTAAATCTAAACTATAGGAGAAAAGTCCACTATTCTTAAAGGGTTACTTTACACCAAAATAAAAATAAAAAAAATAAATAAATAAATACTGTGATTCCAGACCTTTGTTCATCTTCAAACAAATTAAGATATTTTGGATACCCCTGATCCTCCATATACAGCAATTGCACAGACATGTTGTTTGTCAAGTTAAAAAGGTACCAAAAATGTCCTATATACCAGTAGTACTTAAACTTTTTTCATCAAGTACCACCTCATAAAACAATTGTCTCTCCAAGTACCACTATACAGAGCAGTATTGAAATACAGTGGCGTAGTTGGCCCAGTAAAGCAGCTACAGCTTTGCACAGTTCAATAATGTGGCAGATTAATTCCTACTATTAATACTAATTAAGTAATATTATACTTATTATTGTTAGTAACTTTAAACATTATAAATAGTCTGAACTGTGCTTATTTGTAAAAAAAAACAAAACATTTTAATTAAAATTTTATTTTAAAATTTTAAAATTGTAGGTTACTGTTCTTAAAAAAGAAAAAGAAAAAGAAAAAAAAAATAATCCTGTACTTAAAAGTATTAACATATAGTAGCCAACTCATCAACACCTGGAAGTGTTGCATGGATCTTAGAAATGTAGGCTATATGTCATCATATATTTATATATAACTAATTTTTGTAAAATTGTTAAATATATGTAGCATGTACACATGACATATTTGATTCCTCCGCATACCACTAGAAAATCCGCGTACCACTAGTGGTTTACGTACCACAGTTTGAGAACCACTGCTATATACAATCCATGTGGCTATAGTGGCTCAATTAGAAATTTTTAAAGCTGCAAGAATACTTTTTTGTGCAAATACATAAATAAAAAAATCTTAATAAATTATTGTCCTCAGTGTCAGTATAGGGTGCTTATTTATGTGTCGCACTCAGTTGTTTTACTGTAATATTACATAAGAAACTTTTATGCTTTGTTTCAAGTAAATCTCACATATACATTGTTGTAGTGTTCATATGAATGTGCGCAATATACTGACACTGAGGAGAAGGAATCTTTGAATAAAGTTAGTTTCATTTTATGTGCATGCAAAACTTTTTCTAGTTTGAAAAAATCTGATTAAAGCATTGGGGATTTTTTTCTTTTTCTTTTAATTTATTTTATTTGATTTTGTTTTGTTTTATTTTTTTACTTTTTTATATCTCAATAAAAGCAGAAACGCTTCTAGAAAAAAATCCAGGCCTATGTACTGAATTTAGCTGAAGTTAAACTGCAGAAAAGATTAAAAAAAAAAAAAACTCAAGGGCATCAGAACGTCCTATTGTGCACAGTAAGGTGCTCCTTTGTAGACATTGCACATTCATGATGGTGGAGACTTTACAGCAAATTACTACTCAACAGTTTATGCATTCTATAAACCAGGGGTTCTCTCAAACACTAGTGGTATGCAGGCTTCCTTCTAGTGGTATACAAAGATATACAAATAAGTCATATATAATATTTACTATATATTTCAAAATTTATCAAAAAGAGTTTATACATTAATTGGCTGATATTTATGAGGCCCAAGGAACATTTCCAGGTTTTGATGAATAGGCTACTATATGTTAATACTTTACATTTAAGCAAAGCAATTTTCTGTTTACTTTAAAAACAGTGCAATTTTTAATTATCTTTCAAAAGCACACATTGATGTTTTATTTGTTTTTAATGTTTAAGTTGATGTTAAAACTATTAAAATTGTAAAAAGTGGCTGATGATAAAAAATATTCATAACAAAATAAATTAATCTGCCACGTTTTTTGAACTGTACAGGGCTGTAGCTGCTTAATTAGGCCTAATACACTACTCTGTATTTCAATACTGGTCATTGTGGTGGTACTTGGAGAGAATTTTTGGTTACTTGGTGAAAAAAAGTTTATACTTTTAATTTTAATTAATTAATTAGTGAATTAAGAAAAAAAGTTTAGGAACCACATTAGAACATCTTGAAGCTACAAGAATACTTATGTGTGTAAATATAAAAATCTTAACAGTTTATTTTCCTCAGTGTCAGTATAGGGTGCACATTCATGTGTCACGCTCAATTGCCTTACTTTCATATTACCTAAGATGCATCTGTGCTTTGTTTCGAAAGTCTCACGTGGGCATATGGGGTATATATATCAATGCAGTGTTCTTATGTATGTGCGCAATATACTGATACTGAGGAGAACCAATCATTGAATAACAAAGTTATTTTTGGACCTGGGGAGGCCAAGCTGGAGCACTAACTCTGGTCCCTCTTGCTCTGCAGTGGTTGGGGAAATTTGAAATTTAACCCCAAAAAACAAACCATTACAATTGGCATGCAAAAGTATTTTTTCTAGCTTGATAATATTCTGATTAAAAAATTAAAGATGTTTTTTTTTTTATTTTTTTTTATTTATTAGCACCACATTGCTGTCTATGGAGGATGAGACAGCTCTCAGATTTCATTTAAAGTACCTTAATTTGTGTACAGAAGATGAAAGATGGATTGGAACTTCACAAGGGTGAGTGATTAATAACATTTTTCTATTTTTGGGGTCAAATACCTCTTTAAATGTGCAAAATGTAAACTCCAATAATCCAAAAACAGATTCTGTTCTGTTGCTATTTAATGTTATACAGGTTTACAGGGCTGTATTTGAGCAGCAAGGTTAATGTTGACAGGTTGCAGAAAGCACAGGTGGCACACAGTTCTACCGTCACGGTACGCTCCGTAAAACAGCGTAAAATGTCTGTCATTGTCATGCGTTACCCTCCTCCCCTCAATGCCACTTATAAGCTACCTGTCCAATTCTATTTCCTGAGATGAAAACATAAACAAAAGGCGAGAAACCCGTTGCCATCAAATGTAAAATCCTGACATGCTTTTCACAAGCCAAGAAGCGCTCTCCAAGATGTCTGTGCTGACCTATTTTGTCAGCGACAGTTAGCACAGCCACTGCTGGAACATCACAGAGACTAAAAGAAGGGGGAGAGTGAGAGTGGGAGTTTGTGTAAGGAAAGAAAGGTGCTGGATGCCTGATAAGAAGGAAATCCGAGATGCCTCTAAAAGCCATGATCATTTCTAAAGATGGCTCAATGCTTTCATCCAGCCTTTGTGCATCAATGTTCCAAGAAAGCTCTGCTTCAATAGCTGATATTCGTAGCTGGTGTACACATCTGATGTCAGAGAAAAGAGAACCGCTGATCCTTGATGTAGCATGCAAGTCTACACCAAATGGAGAGGCCATTGAGGAAGCAGGCTGTAATGGTGACTAACATAATCATATACTGAAGCTGCTCAGATCAGCACATTGTCATTTAAACATCAGACTGAGTGATGAAGCTTTGGAACAGTGGTTCAGACACATGATGTGATACACTGAGACATGGGTGAGATATCCCTAATGGCTCTCTTGATGACTTGCAGACTCACAATCTTGTTCAAATATGCACCTTCTTTAGTTCAGTCCTGTTCATGATAACAAACCAGAACATGCTATATACATGTCTTTATACTGTAAATTCTCCAGGGAAAGATCAGAGCTAATAGCCTCATGGAAGTGCTCTGACAGACACACATGCACATAAATGATTCTTTAGAATCTGTTGGGTGGTTTAGGTGCTATAATGCACAGTTGCTGCTTAAAGAACATGCTAAACCCACCCAGTGTGACTTTTAACTTTCTCTTAGTCTCTTAGTTTAACTGGGCAGCCATAGCCTTATGGCTAGAGTTGGACATGTTATTCAAATGTCACAGGTTCAAGTCTGAATACCATAAGGGATTGTAGGTGGAGGGAGTGAATAACCACTGCTGTCTTCCACCCTTAATTCCACAGCTGAGGTGATTCCCTTGAGAAGGGCACCAAACCCCACGACTGCTCCTCAGTTGGTGCACCTCACAGTATTTATGTGTGGATAAATGAATCTGCTAAAAAAGTAAAGATTTTTAAAAAGTAACATTATATTAAGGGCTACCGCCAACTTAACATTTTCCATGTCGACTAGTAATCCTTCATATTAAGCGATTAGTCGACTAATAGAATGTTTACTAATAAACCATTTAAATCATAATAATGACATTTTAATTGCCTACTCAACTTAGTAAGTGATTGAGTGCAATGCAGCACACCAGCAGAAGTAATGATTGTAAATGTGTGTGGGAAAACTCTTAGGGAGACTGCATTAGCATTTTAATAATTTATTGATAAACTAGTGCTTTCTTTAATAATTGACTTAAGAGACACTAACTATGTTTCCATCCACAGATGTGAATAAAGCAGCGTTTTCATCCAATGAGTCAAAGAGAACAAAATTGTCACTTCTTGATTAACTGGCACCAAATATTAAAAATAAAAACGTAATTTGATGCAGTAGGAGAAGCTGTGTGAATTTTTTTCTTTATTTAATAAATGACTTGCTCCTCAGAAGACAAATGCTGAATTGCAATGAACGCATGGTGGCGTTTAAAGCACGAGACGTGGAGTTATTAATAATATAATAACACTAATACTGCAATAGTTACGGCATCTTAAAATCTGTAAAACCTCATCTTAGAACGAACAAAACAACAATTCAGATGTTTAACAAGGTGCTAAACCTGCTGGTTTGTCTATTCACACACATTTTTATCATCACATTACATCTTATAACAAAATGACTTTAAGCCATGTATTGGGATTTGTTTGGTAGAAATGTACCCATTGCAGTTCATGCACATCTTTTCTTATCGAATCAAAAGTTTATGTTCATTTTTTATGCACATTTTTAAAAAGATGTACATCATGGCATTTCCATTAACCTTTTGTATGTGCATATCCAAAATGCACATAAAAATAGGTGGATAGAAACATAGCTACTGACTCGATCGTCATCTCCATATTTAATACAGCATGTTTAATACAGATTACACAGTAAATCACATGTAATTTTTGGTTCCTTTACTGTACTTTGATCATCTCAGGACTTTTTCAGTCTATGGATGATGAGGGAGTTCTTGGATTACTTCTAAAATATTTTAATTTGTGTTTTAAAGATGAACAAATGTTTCACGGAAATGAAAAGACATGCGGATGAGTATTTAACAGCAGACTTTTTATTTTTGGGTGGAATAATTCTATAAGATTTTTATAGAAATAATCATTTATGTTTAGTTTTAGCTCTTTTCAAAGCCCCTCACATGGGTACATTTCTTTGGTATTTCAAACAAAAGGATTTTGAATAATTTGAAAAATATAACTTGATTTTAATCCAATTCATAGCAAAACATGAGAGTGGAATAACATGTCTAAAACCTCATATGATTCTAACACTTCACCATTTGACAAAGGTGCTGTATGACACCATTTGACAAAGGTGCTATATAGCACATTTAAACATAGGTGCTATAAAGCACTTAAAGTTGTTCCCCTTATGATTACAATCCAACAGAGCAATTTAGCACCGATTTTGTTTAAAATGTAGGGAAGTTGCATCTGGATGTTCTGAGTCCAAAGCCCAATCTTGTTGCCATGCATTTATGCTTCTGTGCTCTGTTTGTGTTGCTCTGCAATAACACTTCCAAAATGTTAGTTGGCAGTATGCCCCTGTGTGCCGACTTTTTTTTTTTTCCACAGTTTTTTTTTTCTGAACACTACCTAAATGTACATATGGCTCAAACGCGGGAAGTGGTGGACAAGCAACAACTTTTATCATAAGGTAAACACAAAAATTTCCATCTGGAGCTCCTTCAAAGCACTTGACACTTGACACCAAGCTGATCAATCACAGAGCTTACGCTACCAATCATTGCGACATGTAGTCACATTTTTTGAGAGATGCGCTTCAGCATCAGTGACAGCCATGGCGAGGGCTATGCGACCATGCGAAGGCTGCGCTGGAGCATACGTGTGCACTTGACGTAGAAGTACAAATCAGCCTTTAGGGGAAAATTTAAAAGCCCTTACCCTTCACACTCTGTCCCAAGGGCCAAAAGGGAAGGGGTACAAAAATGGAATTGGGCCTATGTTTCTACTCAGGTACCTTTCCTAATCTCCATTACTCGCCTACTACTGTCTCAATAACGGCAACAATACCTCTATAAAAATTCCTAGCCCATGTACTGCAGAAAAGGTGAACACTCAAGGGCAGAAGAGCGTCCTATTTAGTAGGGTGCTCCTTTGTAGACGATACACATCCATGATGGTGGAGACTTCACAGCAGAGTGCTACTCAACAGTCTATGCAATGTACAGCAACAAAGTGCAGACTTTGAATGTGGCATCCCAGAGAGGACCTTTACATCCCATTTCTTGTCTTTTCTCAACTAACAACAAGAGCGTCCCCAACAAAACAAGCAGAGGGTAAAAGGCTGGAGATGAAATCACAGTTTCAAGCTGAACTACTGCCCACGTAAGGACAACTTTTTTTGCTACAAGGTGGACAGTGACAGTTATATGCTTAGCTAACAAGCAAAGGGCGATCTCGACTAGCAGACAGCAGGTTCTTTCTCCTACATGCAAACAGACAAACAGCTGCACAGTCTGCAGTGGCGAGGCGTCTGAATGGTTTGTTCTGAATGCTTATTAAAGGGCTAAATAAATAAAGATCTGTGCTCTGCTGGCAGCAGTTCAGCTTAATTGGCAGCCTTTTCAGAGAGAGGCCCCTGTGGAGCGCACCCGAGCATCAGGCTGAAACAGCTCCAGAGGGCCACAAAACGACCCCTGCAGCTCACGCTAGCCGCACTGCCTCTCTATGCGGCGAGAAAGGGAGGGAAGAGGTGGTTTTCACAGAGGCAGAAATCGAGAAACAAGAAACGGAAAAAAAACAAGGAGCAGGTAGGGGGTGTGGACAGCCCAGGGCCCTGGCATCACCGGTGCATAGCATGCTTTAATTAGAGAGGCTGCCGCTTCAGCACCTCTCCAAACCACCAACACCCCCCTCCCAAAACCTCTCTGCTGTACTACACAGCTGCACTGAACATCCATTATGCATGGCGCCGGTTGGCAAGGTCTGTGACCCTCCGCCAGCCCTCCCTCCTTGGATCCTGTGGGGCATCCATCCCCCTGAGTCCCACAGCAGGGATACGGCAGCTAAGGAGACGCTCTGACTCTCGTGCCGCCCACTCAGCAGGCATAAAAGTGCTAAGTGGCGCAGTGGCAGAGCAGCGTATTGGATGTGGTGGCACAACAGCAGCATGATTCAACGAGGACTGCGTTGGTGAGGCATGAAACATGGGCTGAATGTAAATGCGAGCGGAACCCTAAAGATGAGCTTTTTGACAGATGGGCTGATGGAAGGGTGATGGACGACAGAGCATGAGAGAGGAAGAAAAGATAGGACAGGAGGAGTGCCATACCTTTCACTACCTTATCCAGATAGTGAGCTTTAGGGGGAGATAAAAGACAAGGACATATAAGGGAGGTTTCTGAACAGTGCTGCTTCCATGACAAGACACAGACAGCTAGAGGCATGGGCTGGTTGCTCAAGACTGCTACGTTAACTGAAACACAGAAGGGGCTGCAAAGCGATAGCAAGGACAAAAACATGCAACAAGCAAAACAACACGTCACAGGCTGGGAGAGAGTTAAAGGTATGGTGTGACAAGGTAGAGAAAGAGAGAAGTGAAAAAAAGATGTAGAGACAAGTCTCGATTTTCAGTATATTAACATTTTTTTTGGAAACACTTTCTATAAAGACTGCATAAACATATATCATACCGCATTTTGCATTCGAATAAGTTTTATTTTAGATATAAAAATCAAGTGCACATGTATGTCATACAGCTTTACATCTGAGGACTAATCAGGACTACATCAGTTGTTCTAGTTTGCTCGCGGAATGTTTTTCACTTTAAGTAAATTTTCTGCTCGAGTTCAAAAATCATTTCTTTTTAAAAGGTATGACTGAAGCATTCTTGGCAAAGACATCATACATGAAACACCATGTGTGCCGCCTGGTGGTAATTCACCTCAATTTGCACATTTGCATCGACTTTGAGCTGTCATGATACTGAAATTTGATAACAATTAGTACTGAAATATGAGCGTTTCAAAGTCATTCCGACCGGCTGGTTTGTCTTTAAGCTGATATATGAGCGGTCTGATGAATCACGGCTTTAAAATGCTCAAGTGTTCCTGAATATTACACGCAGTAAACAGCTTCTAGATTGGTGAGCCGATGACCTTCACAGCCAATTACAGTCATTTGTGTTGAGCACATGAACACAATGACAAATCAGCGCTGTTTATGAATGTGCTCCACATTGCTCTAATGCTCACGAGAAATGGATGTTTTTAAAATTACAATACCGATGGGTAACGATTTCCAGTATTGTGGCCACCCTATTGACTTTGTATACAGCTAATGCTGAGTTTACATCAGAAATACAGCACTGCATCACTTGCTCTCATTTACTCACAGGATATGTTTTTGCCTCACACAAATTTTCTGCTTGAATCATGCTTCAGTTGAGTTGAAAAAAACACTATTTTAAGAAACCTTTCAGTTCATGGTGATATTTTAACAGACTGAATACATAATTGCTATCTACATATTTTGATCTATTGAGCCCAAACATGGGAGCGTTGTCTCGAAGGATCTCAAAGGAACTTCCCATCACTACTGTGCATCTAACCCCAGAAGTAGCCTTGCACACATATTGTACTTAGGGCTGCTATCTTGTGAGCAGTTGTATTTGAATTTGAGGATGGGTAGATGGCAGTGTTCATGTGCCCTTTGAACACAGGTATAAAAAAAAATATATCTTTAGTTGAGTTATTATACAATATTCTGGTAATTTTGTATCTAAGTAATTTCGAAATGTAAAAAAAGGTAAATATAACCCTAAATACTAATTAAAACTAACTGTATTTTAAAAACAATAGGTCAAACCAAAATAAAAACTAAAACTAATAAAAAAATCCAAAACTATTATAACCTTGATTTGCTGTGAACCCACGCACGCACGCACACACACGACACGGACACAAGCACATGCACAAAAACGAGACCCTAACTAAATAAAAATGAAGTGATGATGACGACAGCTATACTAAAAAATATACTGACATTTTTGTTGACTATTAAAAAAGAGACGAGAGTATGATAGAGGATTTTGGAAATTATCCAGTCAGAATTATCCTTTGTGTGTGATGCATGACACACGTATGCACATTCGAAAACTGTTACTGGTACACAGTAGATGCGGGACGCGATTACATCAGCATCTATGAGAGAAAAAGAGGATTCGCGTTTGATGTCAAGACAAAAAGACTGTAAACCATATGGCGAGGAAATAGCTGCTAAAAAGAACAAATCAAAATGCCAGGATTTCATCCCAAAATTCACGCAAAGGTAAACTCAGAACTTTTTTTTTCATTTACCCGAGTGTTTCCTTTCCCCAACTGAAATGGTATAGCCTCTCGCTAACTATTAGAGAACTGACTCTGTTAGATTGTACTTTAAAGTTAGGTCTTAAATTCAATAAGTCTTTAAATCTTTTATGTAAGTATTATGTACAATATTTTAATTAAATTACACTTAAATAAATTCAAATATATTTTAGCCAACTAAATCTAGACTACATCTAACTGTCTAAAAGCTTGTAAAATTTAGTCAACTAAAACTAGACAAAACAAAAATAATTCATAAGACTAAAATATGACTAAAACTAAAATGGATTTTTAGACAAACGACTAATGCTGTGTTCACACCAGACGGGTAATGCGCAGATAAATTGCATTTTTGCACGTAAATTCATGATCGCTTTACTTGCGTGTCAAATTTACTTCACAACAGACATGGATTTGTATGATGGGCAGGGCTTCTGTCTGCTCGGTGACTCTAGCTTCGTTGCTAAATAGCTAACATGGATTTTATTGAGAAAATAACTGTGTTTATGTGCTTTACGAAGGCTGGAAAACAGCGTTGATATGTTTAGAGCCGTGTCTGAGTCCACTAGATCCTTTCAGAGGTGCACCCATCTCTGTGAGCTCATCAACTCCTCCAGAAACTTAGCCTGGATGATGGAAGCATTCAGTGGTGCTTCTGACTGAGCCGAGCCTAGTTTGATGAACTGTTGTCAGTGTAGGCAGGAGGATTGTCCCCCAAGACAACAACAAAAGGAGCTATGTCATATTTACGCCCCCAACAAGAGCAAGCTCCTGATTGGTTAACACGGTGCAAATGTCCGCTCGTTCAAATTTTCGAATTCAAGTGTTTTGCGTAAAACGCGCGATACGCTCTACTCGCGCTGCTTCATTGGCACGAAATGCGTCATTCACACTCCCTCATTCGTGCGTATCATGCCGCAGGATGTCTATTCGTGTTTTTGCATTGACTTAACATGTAAATCACTCGCACTTGATGCTTCTTCCGTGTCTGATGTGAACGCAGCAAAAAACTAAATCAAAATTTGCTGTCAAAATTAACACTGCCATACATACCTACAGTATTTTATTTATTAATTTTTTTACCATGGATGTGAAGGTTATTTTTGGCTACGTTGTAATTCCTACATTCTTTAAAAGTATTTTCTCTTCTCTTAAAGAAGAATAAACTTTGGATAAAAAAGGATGAGTAAATGGTGGGTACATTTTAATTAATGAGTGAACGTTAATGCAGACTTTCTGGAAAGTGTTAATATTTGTGCAAGTTAACATTTCTGTACAATTAGTACATCTTTCACATTTAAAAGTGTGATGATATTAAAAGCGTATAAAGACATGTCACCAAAAAGACAACCAATCCAAACAACACTAAAGAGGCAAGACGTCACCTGTCCAACATTCTGCACAATACACCACAGACCATCAGACTTACCACCTTTAATGGCACACGCTTTATAAGACTGTAGGGTCTCTGTTGTTGTTCTCACTATGGTACACGTATGAAGAACATCAATAATGCATTAAGAAAACATTAAAAGACAGAACCCTGGTGCACTGGCCCTAGAAAAATTGTTTTCTATTTTTGCTGAACTAGAAAGTTCATAAGATCAAATGAGATTTTTCTTTTTTTGCTTTGTTCTTCTCTGATGTTTTGCGAGCTGTACTCGGAGACACAAATCAAATGTTATAGCTGGAAAACAACAATTTTAGATCAGACTATGCATGTTTCTTAAACAAAACTGATACGATGCGGATGTTTTTGAACAGAGAGAATCAGAGACGGAATGAAAAAACAAGGATGTTGAGAGACACACTGGTAAAGACAGTCTCACAGCAGGCTGCTTAATGACACATTTAGATTATTTGCGTGAGATAAGCGAGAAGATAAATGTCAGACACTTAAAGTGATGTATCGATGTTTCAAGTATTTGTATAGTCTATTGGTGTTGTCTACAAATACAAGTTAAACAGACAGGTTGGTCACTAGTGTATGTTAAACAAGAATATGTTTGGATTAGCTTCATTAGGGGCTTAATAACCCAATGCCAACCCATATTTCCTGTACTAAACCACCTAAGGAAGTTTTGCATTGCTTTAAAACATAATAACATATTTTGTTATTAAATAGTAAGCAAACAAATGAGCACATTTATTGCAATACGGTTTGGTATATTTAACTTCGGCCCACAGCCCTCAATCAAGTTTGGCTTTTTGCCCTTTATAAGAGAAAGTTTGGGCTTCCCTAACTAAATAAAACTATCTGAATATTTTATGAGAATGATTTTGAAACTGCTTATACCAGAGATAATCCCTTAGCAGTAGTAAAACCAGTCTCTAGTGTGCTATTAATTCAAACTAAACTAAATCAGTCAAAACTTCCAGCTTATACAAATCACAAAAAACGAAACTGCAAAAAAATAATGAATATTTTTTTCACAATATTCCATTTTAATTCCCCAATGTAAAGAATGTCTTTCCAGTGACTGAGTCCTCTCGTGCAGCGCAAATGTTTGTGTTCAAAATGAACTAATCGGAAGGAGCGACAGAGAGGAGAATAAGAAAAGAGAGAAATGATGAAAAAGACACCTTAGCACATTCCCACATTAAAATGCATGAAGACAAGCTTTGTATCCTTGAGCAAACCTGTTCATGCTATGCCGAGTTGCACAAATTCAATTACGCATGCTTCTCTCACACCTCCTCATCCGCCCCTTCGTCCCACACAAAAAAACACAAGCACATCCCACTTCCTCCTCACCGATAGTGCAGTGTTCTCCATTCCATCCCGGGCTGCATTCGCACTTTCCGTCCTTGCAGGTCCCGTGTTCGCTGCAGCGAGGGTGACAAGCCCGTTGCTCGCACCCGGTGCCCATCCAGCCCTCGTCGCACCGGCAGCTGCCCGCCACACAGATGCCATGTCCACCACAGTCCGCTGCGCACAGCTCTGTGGGACACACGGGACAGAGAGAAAGAGAGGTGTTACCCAGGAGTATTTGGGACAAGGGAAAAAGAGGAAGCAGATCCAGGAGTTATTGTCAGTGATGGGACGGCCACGCTCCACTACCTTGTCTGATGAGGAGTGAAAAGAAATTCCTGCAGCTCATAATAGGGGGGCAATCCCTTCTGGACAATACAAATCTAATAAAACCATTACAAAGCCGGGGTTTGGGGATTTTCTGCTGCATCTCTTCCCCCTTTTTTTTTTTTTTTGGAGGGAATCCCTTCTATTGTGTGGACGGGTGTAGGCAAAACGAATAAAAGAAAAGGACGAAAGAAAGAAAAGTCAAAGAACAAAATCCAATTCCGACTTTCTATATATGGAGACACACTGGGTTATTTAAATCAGATTTGCAGCATGTGTCATGAGATTAAATGTGCTACTCTTCAAAAGAAAGTTAATTTACACAAATGTACAAAGATTTTACTTTGTTTTACCCTGCATTTTTAACTGAAGGTTCAGGTGTGTTAAACAGAAGTGCCAGTTAATTCACATAAGGCACATAAATTCACACCACATCTAGAAACACCACTGCATAATATAAAAGCTACTTGTGAAAGCAAACAAAAGGTGATTAATTTTGAAATGCAAAAGCATGTCTAGTTCATTATAAGACGAAGTTCAAAATATGACTATAGAAGCAATGCATTATTTTAATAAAGATGACATCAATGTCATGATAAATAAATAATATAAAATAAACACACAGTTACACAAACACCAGGACACTCATATTTAACTTGCACATTTGCATGCATATAAAAATGTACAATCAATAACTGTGATAATCAACAATTGTTCAATTTGAGAGAAACAAAACAATATAATACACTGTAAAAAACAGTATCTCTATTTTGTAATTCAAAGGTTTTACTTTTATTGTTATTACTTATTCTATTGTTATGAATTGCATTATGGGACCATGATCTCTGCTCTGTTGACTTTTTATGTTGAAAATTGAACTGGAGTTTAACAAGAAGTGACTTTTATTGACAAGTTAGTAGAAACAATATATTGTATAGGCAATTTTACATGCACACATCCCCAATTTCTGTTTAACGGAGAGCAGGTTTTTTCAACACGTCTAATCATAATAGTTTTAATAACTCTTCTCTAATAACTTATTTATTTATCTTTGTTGATGACATATTATTTTACTACATATTTTAAGATGCTTCTATACAGCTTAAAGTGACATTTAAAGGCTTAACTAGGTTAATTAGGTTAACTAGGCAGGTTAGGGTAATTAGGCCAGTCGTTGGTTTGCTTTGTAGACTATCAAAAAAATATATACCTTAAAGGGGCTAATAATATTGACCCTAAAATTGTGTTAAAAAAAAAAAACAATGTTTATAGCCGAAATAAAACTAATTAGATTTTCTCGAGAAGAATAAATATTATATCATATTATATTTTTACACTGTGAAAATGTACATACATACATACATACATACATACATATATATATATATATATATATAGTATTTGTTTGGAAAAATAACAGAAAAGGTACTGGCAAGTTATTTCCAGGTTTTTTCAGTCAATACATATCCATTTAAAAATTTCAATAACAGTCCCTTTTTCAAACTTTTCAACATCACAAGTTGTCGGAGGTAATATAAATGTCCATTAATGTAACTCAAAAGCATAAAAATGGGAGGAAAAAAAACACTTTTACCAACACAATGTCATGGCAATTTGTTTCTTATTGATTTAGTGGCTAATACGTATGATAATGTCAGATTTTATTTGTACAATTTGCTTATCCCCCAATTACAGTTTTGGTTTAGGGGTGGGGTTGGGTGCAACACCTTCATTTTAAAATTGTAAAACATAAAATAGTTACATTTCCTTGTGAGATCAGAGTCAACAGATGTTGTTTACTGTGGAACAGAAAGTTTTTTTTTGACTGATTGATTGTTTGATTGATATATATTTTAATGCCCACCCATATTGGTACAGATATCTTTTTGTAAATGTCATAAACCTGTTGTTTTTATACTGACCTTATAATATTTTTTATCTACTATAACTTAACATAAACCTGAAGCCAATCTAATGCCTCATTCAAAATAGCTACAAATTTGTAGCTGCCTGTCGCTCTGGGTGGTGACCTGTTGCAAATGCAGGTCTATGTAGGTTTACAGTATGAAGAATACAAGAGAATACCGTGTTGTCAACCTTGTCACATCACTTGACATGCCCATTGATTGTATCTTATTAACATCTACCCCCACCGCAACCCTAAACCCAACCATCACAGTAACGTAAAAACAGTAGTTGTACCGAGTATTATTTATGTTATCTACTAAATCCCCCTCCTCCCCCCCCCCCCCCAAAAAAAAAAAAAAAAAAAAAATTAATTAACGTCTTCTTCTACCCTGAACCTAAACCCAATTGTCACAGTACTGTAAAAATATTAATTATTGTTATACAGCGTCATACAAAATGGTACTATATTGATGTGGATATTGCACTTCTGGTCGGCTGCTTATTCAATCCAGACCCCACCTGGTCACCAAACGGTCGCTCTCCTAAACGGAGGTCCCTGGAAGTCACTCACTCTCCATTGAAATGAAATGATTGTCCCTTTGCTGCAGCAAGTTGCTAGTAGTGTGAATGAGACTTAAACCTTTAATTATATTTTCATTTCCAGCTATAGTTTATTAAGTATTTTGACTAAAATAAATAAACTCACGCAAGCACACACACACACTATTTGTTGGTATACAAGTGAAAATGATATTTGTAAAAAGAACATTCATTCACATTCAATGTGTCAAGTATTCAACTCATCAGCGTATGAAGCGGTGATTATGCGCTGTTGTCTGATCAGCTAAATGTATGCAGTCGTCAGTCATGAGGACAGAAGGCGGTCTATGGGCCATTAATGAGTCAATTATGTTCATGCAGCTCCACGTTTTGTCATTCTTACAAATTAAACAGAGTTAAGTTCGTCTTTTCAGGCGCAAACCATAACATGGCATTACCAGATTTAAAAGCTTGAAGGAAAGGAAAAAGAAAAAAAAAAAAAACTCCCTCATTCTAATTACAGCACAGGGCCTTTGTTAAATTATGTAAATGCCCTTAATTTCACATGCAACATTTCAATTACAGGCATCCTAATGGCATTTCATTCAGAGCTGCTTAAAGTTGTCTAGGAGACACTCGATTGCTCTTTTCCTCTGCTCTCATTTACTGACCCTTCTCTTAAAGGCGACAGAATGTGAAAACCAGACTTTTTCCAGGTCTATAATTGGGTCTCCGGTGCATCTACCAACCCAGAAATCAACAAAATGTACAAACTAGGCTTTTCTCCAAGGATAAAACCAGATTTTGTTCCCTTAGTGATGTATAAAGAACACCTTAATATGTATTACTATATGTAATAATAATAATAATAATAATAATAATTCATGATGCAACAACTTTACACTTTTTGTCAAAACATAACATTTTTACATCAAATATATTTACGTTGACTATTAATTGGATATGATAACTAATTGAGCAAAAATCATATTTATTTAAGATTATATTGATCGTACTTTTTAAAAATATTTTATATATTTAAACAGTGCATCCAAAAATTTTGCTAACTTTTAGCGCTTCACCTTTTCCACATTTTTTGTTACAGCCTTATTGCAAAAATGCTAAAATTAATTTATTTTCTCAAAATTCTACACACAATACCCCATAATGAAAATGTGAAAAAAAAAATATATATATATATATATAAAAACATATAAATATATTTTATTTATTTTTTTTTTTTCAAAAATTTATTACAATTAAAATTGAAAAATCACATGAACATAAGTATTCACAGCCTTTGCTGTGCAGCTCTAAATTGAGCTCAGGTACATTCTGTTTCCACTGATCATTCTTGAGATGTTTCAGCAGCTTAATTGGAGCTTAATTGGACATGATTTGAAAAGGGACCTGTCTATATACACCTGTCTATATAAGGTCCTAGGGTTAACAGTGCATGTCAAAGCACAAACCAAGCTTGAACACAAAGGAATTGTCTGTAGACCTCCAATAGAGAATTGTCTCGAGACACAAGGCTGGGGAAGGTTACAGAAAAATTTCTGTTGCTCTGAAAGTTTCAATGAGCACAGTGGCCTCCACCATTCGATGTTTGAAAGCACCAAGGACTCATTCTACAACTGGCTGGCAATCTAAGCTGAGTGATCGGGGAGAAGGGCCTTAAGGGAGGTGATTAATAACCCGATGGTCACTCTGTCTGAAATTCAGAGTTCTTCTGTAGAGAGAGGGGAACATTAAAGAAAGGACAACCATCTGTGCAGCAATCCACCAATCAGGCCTGTATGGTAGAGTGGCTAGGCGGAAGCCAATACTCACCTGGAATTTGCCAAAAGGCCACTGAAGGACTCTCAGACCATAAGAAACAAAATTCTCTGGTCTGATGAAACTAAAATTGAACTCTTTGGAGTGAATGCCAGGCGTTACGTTTGGAGAAATCCAGGCAAGCTCATGACCAGGCTAATACCATCCCTACAGTGAAGCATGGTGGTGGCAGCATCTTGCTCCAGGGATGTTTTTCAGCATCAGGAACTGGAAGACTAGTCAGAATAAAGGGAAAGACGAGTGTACAGAGACATCCTGAATGAAAACCTGCTTCAGAGTGCTCTTGACCTCAGACTGGGGCGACAGTTCATCTTCCTGCAGGGCAATGACCCAGATTTCAGGGTTTTCAGATTTTAAATTTTTAATAAATCTGCTACAATTTCAAAAATTTTATCTTTTTTTCACATTGCCATTATGGGGTATTGTGTGTCGAATTTTGAGGAAATAAATAATGATTTCATCCATTTTGGAATAAGACCATACAAAATGTGGAAAAAGTGAAGTGCTATGAATACTTTCCAGATGCACTGTATAAAACAGTTCTGTCTGGTTCTTGAATCTAATTGGCTGATAGC